GGAGCTCCCTGCTGTCGACTCCGGGGATAAATGCCCGGCCTTCCGGGCAGCGCTGGGCGCGCCTCCAGAGCGGCCCTGCGAGCACCCTCCCGCCCCGGGGACCCCTGTTCGTGCCTGAGAGGCTTGCTTGGAGGTCCTGTCTGCACCGGGCACTAGAGGCTGCTGGGCATCCCCAGGGCAGGCACAGGGTCATGCTGAATGTGTAGAACAGGTTCGGTCCAAGGCGGGCACGGGGCTCTGCTGTGTCCGAGAGGGCGCTGCCAAGGATAATGCTGTACAGAGGAAGCAGCAGAGTCTTGCTGGCCACATCTTCCCAGGGTGGCTCTGCAGAGGCAGACATAGGGCGCTGCTCCATGGTGCCAGATGGCTCCGTCCAAAACACCGCCTGTCATGTCCAAGGTGGGACTGGCGGAATGTACTCCCCAAGGTGGACACAGGTGTCTGGTGGCTTGATCTGAAAGCGCCCTGCCTCAGAGGGAGCTGCCTGGGGGTGTGCCAAGGCCCAGGGGACACAGCCATAAGCGGCACTCACTCCCTAGGGCCAACAATGCCAAGATTAACCCCTTTCAGAAGCTCTTTGAATGAGACCTGCCCTTGAGCCTCCCATGTTCTGTAAATCTCAAGAGAACTGATCTACCCAGTGAGAAGGAACGTTAGCCTTCCTGGCAAAGGCCAGAGGCATTTAGAGACCAGGCCTCTGGGGCAGGTGCTTTCTCTTGAGTTTGGAAAGAGAGGAGAGAGAGAAAGAAAGAGAAGAGATGAAGACACTCCTAGAGGCAGTGTCCGTATTAGGGTGGGGACCCCAGAATGTGGAAGGGACGGAAAAGAGTTGTTCAAGAGAAAGGGTGCAGCAGACGAGGGCAGTTGCCTCCATAGACAGCCCAACCGGGAACTTCTCCAGGCAGAGGTGGCCCAACCTGACAGGCCCAGGAAGCTGGAGGGAGAGGGCTCAGGAGCAAAGAACTGAATGAGAACTGGGAGATCTTGAGGCATAGACCACACCCAGGATATGTGTTGTAGATAAAAGAATAGCATGCAACCAAACTCAACAAACATTTACCGAGAGCCGCTAAGTGCCAAGCGCCCCATCAGGCACTTTGGGGGACACAGAGAATTAAGACATGGAACCTCTCTCCAGGGGGCTCACATGGGGGTTGGGGGGAAGGGGGATGGAACGAAAGCTGCTTTGAGGATTTGACATTTGAGTGGAACTTGAAGGCTGGGTAGAACAATGACTCACTACTGCTTCCTGAGCACCTACTATGTGCTAGACACTATCTCTATTCCTCACAACAAACCTCTGAGGGGGACATTATTGTTATAGCTAGGGATTGAGTACATGGACTCTGGGACCAGGTTGCTAGTTCAAATCCCAGCTATGTCAAGTACTAGCTGTGTTACCCTGGGTGATCTATAAAACCTCTCTGTGCCTCAGTTTCTTTATCTGAAAATAATGGGGCTACTAACAGTGCCTGCCTCAAAGTGTGTTTTGAAAATTAAATGAGTTTAGTCTTTTCAACAACAAAAAAGACCATTTATTGAAATGGTCTTTTCAATAAATGATGCTAGAAAAACTAGACACCCACAGGCAAAAATATGAATCTAGACACAGACCTTACATTCTTCAAAAAAAAAAAAGTAAAATGGATCATAGATCAAAACACAAAATTAAAACTGCTAGAAGATAACATAGGAAGAAATCTAAATGAGCTTGAGTATGGTGATGAATTTTTACATACAATGCCAAAAGGCATGATTCCTAAAGAAAGAATTGATAGGCAGGACTTCATTAAAATTAAAAACTTCTCTGCAAAAGATAATATCGAAAGAATGAGAAGACAAGCCACAGATTGGGGGGAAATGTTTGCAAAAGATACATTTGAAAAAAAGACTCACCCAAAATATACAAAAAACTCTTAAAACTCAACCATAAGCCCTGGCTGGTGTGGCTCAATTGGTTGGGCATCGTCCCAGGCACCAGGAGGTTGCCATTTCGATTCCGGGTTAAGAGCACATTAGCCTGGGCTGTGGTTTGATCCCTGGAAGGGGGGTGCAGGAGGCAACTGATCGATGTTATGCTCTCCCTCTCCATTCCTCTCACTCTAAAAATCAAAAAACTTAAAAAACAAAACAAAAAAACTCCTCAACAATATGAAAACAAACAATCTGATTTTAAAATGGGCCAAAGACCTGAACAGACATGTCACTAAAGGAGATATACAGGTGGCAAACAAGCATTTGAAAAGATGCTCTACATCATATGTCAAAGGGGATTGCAAATTAAAACACATTGTCTGGATGTTTATCCATAGTTATCCATTTAGCAACTGAAGGACATTTTGACTGCTTATAAGTTTTGGCAAACATCCATGTGCAGATTTTTGTGTGGATATAAGTTTTCAATTCATTTGGGTAAATAACAAGGAGTGCAATTGCTGAATCATATGATAAGGGTATATTATCATCACTAAAAAGAAATGCACTTATCAAG